TACAGTGGACCCTTGACTTACAGACGGCTTGACTTACAGACTTTTTGAGTTACAGACTTCTCTGGCCGCAAAATTTAGGTTTGACTTGCAGACTGAGATTTGACTTACAGACCAGAAAAAAACCAAAATGGAACAAAAACGGCCTGTTACAGGATTAATCGGTTTTCAATGCACTGTAGGTCAATGGAGACTTGACTTACAGACTTTTTGACTTGAGAACCGCCTTCCAATACGGATTAAGTTCTCAAGTCAAGACCCCACTGTATTTCCTAGTAGTGACTTCAGTATCCAGGGGCTCAAAAAGCACAGCAGAAAACATGAAATTAAGCTTTGCTAGAAAGACTTTATGTGAAAATGCAATGTAAAAATGATAAACAGGACTTAAATAGAAACTAGAGAAACTCCATGAGAAGGAGTTAGATAAAAAACCAAAGGAGCAGGAAGAAGGAAATGTTGCTGCTAAGCTCTACAGGAACCAGAATCTAAAACTTCTGTGGTCACTTTGGGGATTAATTCAGAGAACCTTGCAATGTGTCACTATTCAGGAGCTTGATTTTTTTCCAAACAGGGAAGCTGTTTGTACAAATAAATAGCTGGTTCTGCAACCCTTTTGACCTCCAATCCAGCCCACTCTGCACGAAGTCAGCATGGCGATCTCTCCTCTCTCTCTTCTCGTTCTTGCTGGCTTGCTAGGATCCTTGGCTACCGAAGGTAAGTAATCTGATGAGACTGGACAGATTACTGTATCTACGCTAAATTCACTTTAGCTGCTGGGGCTCCACCTGAAGGGATGTAGTTTGGGAAGAGACTGAGCGTTTTCTTATTGAGAGCTCTCTGGCCTTTTCCCCAAAGCCTAACTGGGCGTTCTAAGGGTCTCGGCATTGAACAAAATGCTAGGCGTCTGTCGGATGGACCCCACTAGCTGATTGAGAAAACAAGGGCTCATCACAGACATAGCCATAGAGGTATGGCAATCTCTCCCCTCTGTCTTCTGGTTCCTGCTAGTTCCTTAGGATTGTTTGCTATTGAAGGTAAGTACAGTCATGCCCCGCTGGACGATTACCCCATTTAACAATGAATCCGCTTAATGATGTTTTTGTGATTGCAAAACGATGGTTTTATTTTTTTTTATTTATTGCTGTGCAATGATCGGTTCCCTGCTTCGGGAACTGATTTTCACTTTACGACGATTAGCAAACAGCTGATCATCGAGTTTCAAAATGGCCACCCCCTGAAGAAAATGCCCCCCTGCTCTTTTTAGGACTGATTTTTCGCACTACAGGCACCGAACATGGCTGCCAATATGGAGGATCTTCACTGGACGAGCAGGTATTCAGCCCATTGGAACACATTGAACAGTTTTCAATGCGTTTCAATGGTTTTTTAAATTTTGTTTGATGACGTTTTCACTCTACAGCGATTTCGCTGGAACGAATTAATGTCATCAAGCGAGGCACCACTGTAATGTGATGAGACTGGGGAGTGTATCTACATTTCAACCCTTATAGCAATTTGATTCCAATTTAGCTACTGGGGATCCATCCTACGGAAAGTAATTTGGGGAAAGACTGAGCATTTTTGGCTTGAGAGCAGGTGGCCGCCCTGAGCCCCTCAGAAGCTGAGTGTTATTTTAGATGGACCCTTGATCTGATCCAACAAGCTTTCTAATATGTTCTTAGTCTCAAGAGACAGGGAAACCTCGATGGTTTAGCTGAAAGCCCTCCTAGTCCGCTCTCTATTCCCTGAGAAGCCGAACAGGTGCCTTTTGGGAGAACGACAAGAAGGACTCGAAGCTGAGGACAAACACAGTCCTAGACGACCACTTGAGATCCTCAGTTGGAAGAATTTAAAAAGAATTTTAATATTTCTTGCTTCCCTGCAGATCTTCAAAAGAAGGTCTTCGTTTTCCCAACCGCATCAAACAGCGCTGCAGTGTTTTTGAAGGCCCCGCTCCAGCAGCCACTGACCAGCTTCACCGTGTGCCTGAGATCCTACAGCCTCTTGACCCGTGCATATGGCCTCTTCTCTTATGCCACCCGGAGAAACTACAATGAACTCCTCCTCTACAAGTTCAACCCAAACCAATACAGCCTTTACCTGGGAGGCTCCACTGTGAGCTTCGACCTTCCAGAAAAGCAGGGCTCACAATCGGATTGGGAACACATCTGTGTGAGTTGGGACTCTGCCACAGGGTTAGTGGAATTGTGGGTGGATGACCATCTTTTGCCACGCGTGGGGCTGAAGAAAGGTTATGCCATCAATCCCGAGGCATCTATTGTCCTTGGGCAAGATCAGGACTCCTTTGGAGGTGGCTTTGAAATCAACCAGTCATTTGTAGGAGAGATATCAGATGTATACATGTGGGACAGGGTGCTGACTGCTGATGAGGTGAATCTTGTCTGGAACGACCTCAGAGTTGATAACTCCCTGATTGACTGGAGAGACCTAGATTATGAGACCAGAGGCTATGTGGTCCTTCACCCTCCTGTTTTTCCAAGCTACTGATTGAGGAACAGTTGCTAAACAAATCAGTTCCCTTAACAGCTGGTCTTCTCTCTCTCTAGCTTAAAGCAGTCTGAAAATTGTACAACCCTAATTCAGTAATGTTTGTTATGTATCAGTTCCCTTAACAGCTGGTCTTCTCTCCCTCTCTAGCTTAAAGCAGTCTAAAAATTGTACAACACTAATTCAGTAATGGTTATTATGCTGATTTTAATGATTATAAGATTTCCATGGACAAACTATTAGCATGTTCTTCCAATAAATCATTGCTTTAATTTTGTTTCATTTATATGAGTGTCATCAACCTGAAATTCTATGACAAATTTCCGTATTAAAAATGGCTATAATTATGACTTTTTTAAAAAACCGATTCAAAAAAATAAACACTAGTATCTTTTTCCTCAATACTGCTTGATTTTTACATGCCTGGCTTCCTCCCTCCCTATCTCTCTGAGATGATCCACATCAATATGGAAGAGATGTTTCGATTCATTTTTGAAGAATCTATCAATGGGGTGGCAAGAACTATAAGATCAACAAGAAAGACACATATTACCAAAAATAGGTTGTTCTTCAGAGAAGAGGAGTTAATTTTTGTTTAGAATGTACATGTGCTAATTTAAAGGAATACATTCCAATATTATAATGAAATATTATTGTTACAACTTAATGTATTGCACAAGACTGACTAGGTGACCACCTTGGAACACAACATTGAGAGATGGAGGAGGTATAATTCAAGTAAATAGATAGGGCAGAGTCATGGGAGAGATCAACTTCCATCATCCTGATATCTGTTGGGAGGCAAATTCTGCCAGGTACAGCCCTTCCAAAAATTCCAGGTTTGTGTGCCTGATCATTTTCTCCTACAAAAAGTGGAGAAAGAAGCTAGAGGACTAGCTATCCTTGACTTGACTCTAACCAATAGGAACAACTGGGTGGTGGATCGGGGAGGAAGGGCAACTCTGAGCAAGGGAAACTCTGTTCCACTAGAATTCTTGATTTCAAAGGAAACCAAAGCAGAGTGTAGCCACACACATAGGCTGGATTTTTTTTTTTTTTTAAAGCCAGTTTCATTAAACTTAGGACAAGGATAAGTAAGGTCCCATGGCAGGAGATCCTAACAAGAAAAGGAGTCCAAGTAGGCTAGGAGCTTCCAAAAAAAGGGAAATTCTAAAGGCACAACTACCAACAATTGCAACGAGAAAAAAAGATGGGAGGCAGCACAAAAGGGCGGTGTGGCTTCACAGAAAGCTCAGAGAGGACCAGAAAACAACAACAACAACCAAAAAGGAGACGCACAAGAAGTGGAAAGCAGGCCAGGCCATCCAAGGATAGGTACAAGAATGAGTACAGTTCATTTCCACTCTGGAAATTCAGGGTTATGATGATAACATTCAAAGCCCTAAACAGTTTAGGACCTCGGGACCTATCCGAATGCCTGCTCCCAACCAGATCTGTTCTTCCCAGGCAGGGCGGTTGAGGGCCTTGACCGCGAAGGAGACCCGAAGGGAAAGATCAAGAAACGGGGCCTTTTCGGTGGTTGCCCCCCACCTATGGAACAACCTGCCCATGGAGATCCCTGCCAGGCACCCTCGCTTAGAACAAGAAACCGGGCCTTCTCGGTGGTTGCCCCCCACCTATGGAACAACCTGCCCATGGAGATCCCTGCCGGGCATCCTCACTTAGATAGGTTCAGAAGAGCACTGAAGACCTGGATCTTCCACCAGGATTTCCCGGAGCACTAAGATCTCACCCTCCCTTTTTATCATTCTTTTTGCCATCCTCTCCATCACCCCCTTTTAACCACCTTTATTGCCATCTGTTTTAATTTCCCTATTTGTTATGTATTAATTTATTTTTGATCCTGTTTTTAAATATTATTCTTTATATTGTTGTTAGCCGCCCAGAGTAGCCTGGTTGCCAGATGATGCGGGATATAAATTCAAATAATAAATAAATAAATATATATATAAATAATACAGACAAATAGCAAGGAATTGCAGAAATGGCATTAGGAGGGCAAAAGCTGAGAATAAGCTGAGATTCGCTAGAGGCACTAAAAGCAACAACTCCCCCTCCGGCCCCCATTCTTCTGGTACGTGTGTAGCAAAAGCTATTTGTAGCTGTATTGCATTTTTTGTGGGAATGAGTCTTAATTGTCCCAAACTCTGGAACTGCCTTTATTTTTTCTGTAAAATGGAACTGCTTCACGTTATATTAAACAGCCAGTAAGCCTTTTGCTTAAACCTACACGTTTCACTGGAATTTCTTCGATAAAATCATGCAATTGTACCGCTGTGTTGTCATTTAAACAACTGGAGGAGCCGAAGGCACCAAATCCTGTGTTTGATGCACTTGGAGGATTTTGGTGGGTTTTCAAGTTTCTGCCTCGCAGGGTTGGTTTGCCACTAGGAGCAAGAACCTGCTGGTTTGGTTCGCTGTGAATCACCACGGAGCACGTGGCTCAGAGGGTGTTGGGAGAAGGGCTGATAGGAAGCAAAACGTAATGGAGTCTGAAGGTACGTTTGCAGGTACGTGAAGGAAACCATACGCAAACAAACGATCATGCATCTATAACTATTTCCAAAAAAGTAGCCTTCTTACACATGTTGTTGTTTAGTCATTTTGTCGTGTCTGACTCTTCGTGACCCCAACCGACCAGAGCACGCCAGGCCCTCCTGTCTTCCACTCCCTCCCGGACACACGGCCTCCCGGAGTTGGCTCAAATTCATTTTTGATTGCTTCGGTGACCCTGTCTAACTATCTCGTCCTCAGTCGTCCCCTTCTCTCAGAACGGAGAGGTTTGTTCTCCTTGCAGTCCAGGGGACTCTCATCATGCCTTTTGCACGATGTATTCTGTATATAAGTTAAATAAGCAAGGGAGACAATATACATTGTTGTACTCCTTTCCCAATCCAGGAGCCCAGGGGACTCTCAAGAGTCTCCTCCACCACCACAATTCAAAAGCATCAATTCTTCAGCGGTCAGCCTTCTTTATGGTCCAGCTCTCACTTCCATACATCGCTACTGGAAAACCATAGCGTTGACGATGCGGACTTTTGTTCGCAAGGTGATGTCTCTGCTTTCGAGGTTTGTCATCGCTTTCCTCCCAAGAAGCGGGCGTCTTTTAATTTCGGGGCTGCTGTCACCCTCTGCAGTGATCATGGAGCCCAAGAAAGTAAAATCTGTCACTGCCTCCATATCTTCCCCTTCTCTTTGCCAGGAGGTGACGGGACCGGTGGCCATGATCTTAGGGGTTTTTTTTAATGCTGAGCTTCAGACCATTTTTGGCGCTCTCCTCTTTCACCAACAAGACTACAGAGAAGGAAAAAGCACCTAGCAGAGGGGCAGAGCTCTCTTTGAACTCAGAAGCAGGAGGGAACTATTGGTTGGTGCCGGTGAGATTGCCAGTCACCCCCCCAGCCCAGAAAGACCCCTCCCAGCGACACCTACTAAAAGATCCATGTGGTTATTACAGAATACCAATCCAAGAGTAGGGGATACTTTTATAGACCACTAAAAAAATCATAACAAAATTGCGAGCTTTCGTGGATCAGGACCATCCACTTCATCAGGCATGTATCCGTGTGAAGAATTTAAAGTCCAAAACTTCATGGCAAGCTGGATTTTGCCAGGAAAGTTACTCTTGGATGGCCTCTTAGTTTTAAAAAATTCTCCTTCCTATGTGATGTCAGTGAGACCCATCGACATGAATACCTTTCCCTGATGGCCATGGACACCTCCAAGGTCTCAGCTTTGCTCCAGCCTGCTCTCCTCCTCCCTTGCTTTCGCCGCTCCGGGTTTCCCTTCGAGATCACCCGAAAGCCATTCGGTCGGATCAGAGCACCCTCGCCATCTGAAGACAAGAGTCCACTATGAGAGGCGGGTTTGACTGCACGCAGGGTCTCCAAAAGACCCAGATGGGCCCGGGTTGGGTGGGAATCTTGGGGGCCAGGACTGGGGTGGACTGAGGGGTGATAGAGTTGATTTGGAGGTTATCTATGAACAGGGGGATTAGAAATGTCTCAAAAAATGTAAAGTGCTTAGGTGGGGTTTAGTGGGAGAATTTTCACCTAAGAAGAGGGGTGATGTGCTGAATTTTAACTTGGAAATTTCCAAAGTTTTGCCTGTTGAAATACATCAGTTATTGCACCTCACCCTGGAATCTTATAATGAGGGTCAGTTTGGAAATGATTTAATAAATGAATAAATTAATAGTGAGCTTGTGCAAGAAGCTGACACCAAGGACAAAACTTGGGGGATCCGCCATGCCTCCTGGCACCCACCCCCAATGCCACCCACGGGAGAAGTGGGTGGCATAAAAGGCTCCGTCAGAGC